TGTCGGCAAACCATAACTTTGTCAATTTTTCATCAAATTCACTGATTGACCATTCATTTTGAAGATATTCTTCTCCTTTACATGCGAAAAATCCTTCTATCCCCCCGAAATATCTGTAGGGAAAGTTATGAAGGAAAAAAAAACTTTGTTTGTGAATAACTCAAAAAGTACGTATTTTTTTTTCGGAATTGTAGCCATGATAATTAGAAAGAATACTAAATTACCTAGAGTACAAAACAAAATCATAAAAATCGGACAATTATTAACAAAGATACAGTTTTGGTATACTTAATAATTTCTTCCTCTGCTGGAATAGGATATTGCATGTACTATTCTACTGCAATTTTTTTCCTAGCTGATATACTAACTTTATTATTTCTTGAAAACATTTGTGTGTTATTACATTTTATTTTTTTTAATAATTTATAAAATCCCATGATCCAGGCTTTATTTTATCTTTATTATCTTTCCAGTCAGCGTTTAAGAATAGGTCGTAACAAAGCAATTTGTACAAATATTTTGGTCATTTATGTTAAATGAAATATTGTAGTCGACCAAGGAAAAAATATGAATTCCTTCCTTACATAATACGTAGGATCTACTGATTTCCATATTGTTTTGCTATTTCTTCACTAAACATAATTTTCTGCGGATTATTCGCAAGGGCCAACTAGTTATTTAACATTTGTGTTTATAATATTTAATTATTATAATAATAAAAAATAGTATAATAAAATCATAATAATACTTCATTATAATAATAAAAGGCTTAGTGAACCCTAAGGTTCGATGCCGTCACCACCAATCGCTGTCTACACACCTCCCTCTACCGGTCGACGTCCAAACCCAGTCCCGTCAGATCGGCCTTAACGTAATTTTCCCACCTACGCTTCGGTCTATCCCTCGGACGTTTTCCATTCGGCGCAGCAAATATTAACCTTATAGGAATTTTTTCGTTACTAAGTCCAACAATTTTACTAGCCCATTCAATTCGAATCACTTCAATTATATTAATCGTTTCCAATTCACGCAATTGTGCAACCGTCTGAACTCTCCGATTAATTCATCCTTCTTCGATCCAAATACTCTACGCAATACTTTATTTTCAAAAGCCTCAAACCGTTTCTCATCCCTTGATGTAAGTGACCACGTTTCGCATCCATAAAGAACCGTAGGTAGGATAATGGTTTTATAGATTCCAACTAATAAGTTTCCGGACAGGAGACGCGAGCTAAGTAATTTTGTCACAGAAAAATTACAAACATTTCCCGCCTTCAGCCTAATCTTAATTTCCTCCTTAATTTCGTTTTTTCTAGTTATCGTAGACCCTATGCACCTAAACCTTTCTACGTGTTCAAATATATTACCTTCTATATCACCGGAATTATTTCCATTTTGTTGCTAACCATATATTTAGTCTTATCCGTGTTTATTTCGACCCTTAGTTCTTTTCCGGTTTTCATTAAAGTTGTCGTATTTAGTTTTATAGTTTCCTTGCCTTGGCTTAACAGAACCAAATCATCAACATAGATTTATTTACTTTACTTAATAGAATTTCCGAATTAATTGAGATGTCCTAATTATAACATCGATGATTGAGGTTTAATAATTAAACCCCATTAAATTTTATTGCTGCGTTAAAGTTTAATTTTGTTAAATATGGACATCAATTTTAGAAATCTAAATTCCACTCTTCTTTTGCAGATATTGCTTATATACACAGTACACAAGTAGGGATAAATTAAAGCGAGATATTAAAAACTGAAGTAGGAATTAAAGTATAAATCAATACCGAAGTGGATAAGATTTAAATCTTTATTAATTAATCTGTAAGAGGCGTGAAGTCCGTAGTTAATATATATTAAAAATCATTATTGAGCTTTTATTAGTTTATTACTTTAAAACTTTTAAATATCGCCAAAATAATAGTATTTGTTACAATATACCTCTCAGACGGTCAATATACTGACGAAATAGTATGTTGACTCAATAATATTGACTGTCTAACGGTCCCCTTAAGACATTCGTGGATTTATTGTGGTTTCAACGTAACGATATTTCCACAATAGCCGATCCTGATTCAGAACTTGGATTGCCTCGAGCTAACCCGATGGTGATGTAAGGTAATACGTTCCCTTATGAAACAATCCCATTTCCAACAATCTACTACGAAATGCGATAATAATTATTCTATTTAATAATAATGTTAAGTATGTAAATTTGTATTCAAAAGTCTCATTTAGCGGATTTAGATTAGGGGGAGGAGAATAATTTAGGCAAACAGTGATTAGGGCTATAACTATTGTAGGTTTTTCTATTATTATTTCTTATGAAGAGATTGCCATTGATGACCTGCAAGCAAGTCGTTAATTTTGCGCGATTTAATGGCACAGATAGGATAATAGTTGATACAAAGATTAATTAATAGATAAATTAATTAATAGATTGTTACCGGAATTCTAATTGTAATTTAAATTTTGACAGCATGATCCTATATTCACGACAAATATAAAATTGTTTCATTTCATTGTTAAACTCAAAATTACCCCAATCCACTTGATCTATCAATTCCCTCCTCCCTGTTACTTCATCAACGCAGATTAATAAGAATGTGACCGAGAGATCTGCTGCTTCACCAATATCTAAGTAACTTACTCAATCAAAAATAAAACAAGGCCATTGTAAAAAAAAATCCAAATAAAATAAACGTGAAACATTAAATTTGCTGGATGTGCTATTGCAAATGTAGCAAACAATTTTTTTTTAAATTACGAGAGTTCCGTTTGATCAGTTTTGAATTTATAATATTATTACCCTCGTCTATTACGATTATGGTAGGAGGGGTAACTAATCCTAAAGGTCACCAACCTATTCCAACCAAACTCTAACGAAAGAATTTTAACCTATGAAGTAATTTATCTTAGTCTGAATCAGTAATTGAGGATGTCGTAATGATGGAGATCCCCGTCACATGCAAAATAGTTTTCGATGAGAAATTAAGAAACTGAAATGTGACCCAGATAAGGAGGTAAAACCCATTTAGCGGTAGATATGGGTGTGACTGGAATACCAGTTGGACGGACGCAAGGTCGCTCTGTTGATATAATAGTCTTCGGCCTGTTGGGAACGATCTGGCCCCAACGGTTGGAGTAAACTGGAAAACATCCAAGGACGGTCGCAAGGAAGTTTAAATCAAGTTTCTGCAATTCCATCCGTGTTAGTATTGATTAAGTATTACTCATTATAGCATTTGTTTACCTTGAGGCAAAATAATTCCATAAGCCTGATGCCGGTACAACGTTAGGGGTGGCCGAAAGGGGGTACATGGCGAATGTTGCACCATCATAATTTTTGGGGAGAGTCAATTTTTACGGAGTTTTGAATTTTTGAAGTGGGCACATTTTGACTTTGTTACGAATTTTTGGAGGGAACTCTGTTTTTGTGAGGTTTCACTTAGGAAAAACATTCAAACCACCAAACAAGGAGAAAACGTGTAACTCACCATAGCTAGTGTAATTGCGTATGTTGTATGATCTATAATTTTCTAATTATACTTTCACCTACACCACTTTTAAGAAGAGAAGAGTGATAACATTTCTTGAAAGAGGAGGAATGGATGCGCCACCGATCTTTGAGGAAATGAGCACCTATAATATAAAAGCTGCATTTAAAATTATATGTAGTATTTTTTTTTTTTAATTTCTTATTAGAATTAAAGTACTACTGTGTAAAGAAATTATTATTTTTTTTTTATAATATAAATTTTGATTCTGTTCTTGGCTTATACCAATACCAGTGAAAAAGAACTGGAACCATTTAGTTTTTTTTTCGTTTTGTAGGGTTATTTAACCTAAAGATAAACAAAAAAATGTACCTTTTCAATCCATGGAGGGTTTTGGATTCAGTACGTATTAAGGAGGTGCAATTTCTTGGTTAACGGTTTTACAAGGAGATTTAATAAATAGTAATGGCTATTAATTTAATGAAGCTAATTATTAATTAAAAGTCCCCACTTCATTGAGACTGGGTGTATGCCAGGCAGGATTCCCAATCCCAGGTTCGATTTGTGGCTGATGTTATAGAATAAATCATAATTATCTACCACAGCCAGACTCAAACCCAGGATCTGTAGCACAGTATCTTACTCTATGAGCTACTCCTCCTCCCCCCAAATATACCAAACATATATATATTTTTTTTTTTTGTTTCTCCCCTTTCTCGCCTCTAAGCTATACGGAGTTTTCCCAAGCTAGGAGGCGAAGGTGAAGGATTAATATCAAAGTTAAAAGCTTCCCTGGCACAGGACATGAACTCGTGCTTATTTATCTTCATTACTTCAGGTATCAGGTTCCTGTGCCACGCATGCTGTACATGAGCGTTAGCTCACTCGGTCACCCCACCCCTCATCAATTGTAAGCCTATATTTTATGTTATATAAATTAATTATAAAATGAGGAGAAGAAAGGAATTTTTATGTTAGTTTGGGAAGAAAAAGAAATAAAACAAAACATTTTATATTTAATAAAACAATTTCTACCATTGAGTAATATTCTGAGAATATAATATAAGAGAAAAAAATAAATAATTGTTTTTTAGAAATAATGTTTGAAAAAATGAGCTGAAACGTTAAATAATAATTTTTAATTGTCTAAAATGTAAAATAAAAGGCTGTGAGATTAAAAAGGGGTTTTGATAAATACATAATCAGATAGATATTAAATATAATAAATGAATTACTATATTCCATATATGGACCTTGAAGCATAGAGTCATAGTGCCTTACACACTGAGCTACTCCACTCCCCTAGAAGTTTTTATATATTCTTAATTTATGATCATCATTCATTATGATGATATCCATTAATGGGAATGTTCTAAATGAATTATGACATTAATGGAAAAATCTCTGATATCTTAGAATGAAACTAAGTGATTAAAAAAATTATGTCTTCTACGAACCATGGACCATCTCATTTAATGATCCATTGATAAAATATTTAAAAAAGAACTTACATTTACCTTCTATTATCTGACAGTTATGGTTCAGGAAAGGAAATAATTAATTATAACATTTTTTTATTAAATCAATTCAAACTTTATATTTGATATACCTAATTACAATTCAAATTTCAGACGTTTTATTCTAAGCAACTAATAACAATACTGTTATAAAAACTATTTACAATTGTTTTTTCTTTACTTTTATATTATAAAATTAATAAAAATACATTTCAAAAAGTCTGACTAACATTAATAATAAATTATCTTTACCTATGTTAAACTGATGTCAATATATAAACATGATGGAAACAAAGATATATGTTTTTATAATATAATCTCTATTCATTTAATACAAAAGAAAAACTTAAATCTCCATTTTATGCATTGAAAATAATATAAGAAATAGAAAAAAAAAAAAAGACTTGATAAAGTATTTGATTACTTATAGCATTATTTTGATTTTTTTTGTTATCAGTCTTTTTATTTCAGGATCATTCCTGAATGAGCTCTATAAACACTCATCTAAGAATTACATTCTTAAATTTTTTAATTTTCAAAAATAATTTTTGAAAAAAAAATCATCTGTAAGGGGTTATTAGGAATTTATTAAATGAGTATTTAACATTATCCTGATGATGGCACCTAATTTTTAAATAATTATGAAGAATAAATCACACCACCATTACCAGTAATAGTTGACAATACTTCAATAATCATTAATTCATTTAAATTTTTATAAAGTAAAATGGAATAATTATTATTAATTTTGACTGACTAAAACGCATTAAGACCATCAATTTTTGGTATGTTTGATTTCTCAAGTACCTGAACCACAATCCAGACTGCTTTCTTTCCTCTAGCGACTGCCATGTTTGTAACTACGATGCTATTTTTCACTAAAGCTCCTGAAATAAATAAAATATTTATTGATAATCTATTTATTATATTTAAATCACATATTTCTTTTTTTAATTTTAGTATAAAGTTAGTACAGTAGAAACCATGTTAATCAGCCAGGCATTAACTGTCATTCGGATTAACCAGTATAATGAGAACAAAAAAGTTATATATAAAATGAAGAGCTTTGAGTGCTACAATAATCACCAATCTAATCACAAAAACAATGGAAAGGTTTTGTATTTAAAAATTTGGGAAATGTTGAAAAACAAAAGAGAATAACAGACTTTTTTACTTTTACTGCAATTGTTAATTTTTTCATTGTAAATATTTTGTATTTTTGTCTTAAAGTGCATAATAAAATATTATAATAATGCCATAAAACAGTGTTACTTTACATTTCTGGTTGAATTTCTCTTTGAAATATAAATATCTGAGATTAACTGGCCAGGATCCCTATCCCAAGGGGACCAACTGGGGTTCTATTGCACTAAGTATTAACCCAAACCATAAATTGTTTTTCATACATAAAAGTTATGAGATATATAACTATCATAAGAAATCAGTCGAGTGGACTCATATCAAAGACTGACATCTGTCATTTTCAAAACTCTGAGAAAAAGCCAATTTTTGTAAAGTAGCATCAATTTAAACCAAATCTAATGATTTATTTTCATGAGTCAACTTGAACATACTTAAATAAAATCATCAGAAACAGTTTGAGTTGAACCTATAAAACAAAAATTGACTTTTTCTCTACATTCTGAAAATTACAAATGTCCGTCTTTGGTTTGAAGTCACTAAGTTATAAATTTAGCTTTGGAAAACGTAATACATAACATCATTTAGTAGTCCAATAGTAAAACTAATAATATGTGTGGAATAGAAATAGTGACCCTCCTGAATCTAGTGGAGATACTTAAAAATGAAAGGAAGACATTGTGAAAACATAGTTAAACATATAGGCTCAGTATGATAGGACAAGAATAGCATGTTCAAACCAGGAAATATACAAGGAAACAGAAGACTTAGAGATGACAATGAGAAAAAGGAGATTAAAATTCTATGGGCATGAGAATGGATCCATCAAGAATGAACAACCTCTTCTTTATCTTCCTCATATGCCATTTCTTGAATCGAGGAGCCTCTATCCAATGCAGCCACTCTTCCTGATCCCTACTTAACCACTTCATTTAATTGAGGGATTTGCTTCTTGTGCTTTCAATCCTTTCCACGAATCTCTAATATGAAACTCTGGGAATCCTCCCTGTGTGTCGAGCCTCTAATTGCTTTATATAATACACGTCCTAGTTCATGTAGTAGAAATGTCCAAAATTGAGTTTTATGATCTGCAAAGTGATTTTGAGCTGAAGTACTTCCAGCCGATTACTTATACTTTCACTTCTAGTGCAATCCCTCCTAGTCTTCCCAACAGATATACGTAGGAACCTCATTTCTGCTGCTTTAATGTGACTGTAATTTCTGTCCAACATGGATGAGCTTTCTCCGCCAAAGGCGAGAATAGGCAGGTATACAGAATTATATATGTGCAACTTGGTCTTCTTACCTCCTTCATAATGGCTAAGAACACTACTAGCAATGTGGTAGTGTACTTGATTTGCCTTGGATATTATGTTATTATGTAGAAGATCTCAGCTTCTATTTTGCCAAAGCTTCTAGTCACTGATCCATAAGTAGGTGTATTCCTTCACCACTTCAAGAACCTTCTTTGCAGACCAATTGGGCGACTTCCTGTTCTTCTCTCCTCCTGTTCTTTTTTTGCAATAACCAACACATTAAACTTGGAGACATTAATTCTCATACACTTCCTCGACAATTCATCTTCCAATTCCAACAGTGCTTGCTGTAGTTTTATGGTAAGCACTACATTTTACATTTCTGACAGGCTTATTTTCCTTTGCTCTTAAAGTTTTAATGTTTTAAAAAACAAAGAAGGATATTCAAAACAAATAAAAGAAGAACTAGCATGGCATTAGATAACAAATGAAGATTGCTTAAACAGAGACAAATTCAGAAAATGGATAGATGAAATTATGTGATGGGGCAGAAGAGAAAAAGTAGAAAGGTGCAATGATATTTGCACGGTCCTTTGAAGGCATAGTCGTGAAAATAATAATATAAAAACATTTTGTGAATACATCACAAAAGTATAAGAATCTACTAATTATTACTAGGTTAACTGAGTTTTGTGATTAAGGTTAAGATCATTTTGTGAACACATCACAAAAATATAAGAATTTACTAATTATTACTAGGTTAACTGAATTTTTAACAAGTTATCACATGATATTAAAATTAAATGAATGGGGGACAATTTAGAAATTATTTTATGAAATAAATAAATTAAAATTGTTCCAAATGGTTTAATGATAATCAAGTGTTAACACAATTTCTATAAAATGTAGGTAGTCTAAAAATAATATAGACATGAAATTTACCTATAACATTGGGACAGTCAACATTAGCTTTTGTTCCTTCAAAAATTAAGGAGTTGGAGTTCAGTAATACTCCTGCAGAAAAGTTAGCATCATCGATAGACAGCAACCAACTTTCTCCTCCTCTTATTGTACCTAAAAAATATGAAAATATATATTTTTGTTTATATAACGAAATGAGTAATATATTCTTTATGTAACTGTACTATGAATCTTTTTAAGAAATTGATTATTGGAAATATTATAATGAGTCATTAATGGGTAATATGTATAGTGCTAACAAGAATAGAGCTTTCCACTACTAACAACTAATCTAATTTTATCTTTAAATTTTAAATAATTACCAGAAACTTTATGAGGATTCTTCCCAGATACAACAATTGATACCGATGGCTCAGACATTTTATCTTGGTGAGCTTGTGTAACAAGGACTCCGGCTTCCTCAGCAAGGAATAAAGCATTGATCAGATTGAGACCATTCTCAGTCCTTCCTGACATGAGACCAGCACAAACAGCCGTTTTCATAAAACGAAGAGCTTCTACTCCTATCAACCAAAATTATAAATTATTACAGGTGATTTAATTAAATTTTTGAATTTGAAATTTACAAAATATTAAAAAATTTACTGATAAGTACGATAGACTTTAATTTACCTGTAGTTATGATATCGATTTTCATTCCTCCAAGTGGCTCCTGTTTGTAGAGCCTGCCAACTAGATTTCCTAAGTCTCTACCCAAATTAATCCAAGCTGTATTTGATGCTACTCTCAAATCATTAAGAACAGGAGCATTAACAACTCCAGCTAAACCTTCACCAGGTTTCGCTATTGAAATCAATTGTTCGGCAATTTCAACAGCAACTCGTGTTTGTGCTTCAACTGTACTGGCTCCTGCAATAATAAATAAAAATTATATTTTTGTTACAACTACTGTTCAGTTAAATAAAAATCATGAATATATTTAATTCCATTTTTTGACCGAGTTTTATAAACTCAAAATTATGATCCTAATTCTGCATACAAAAAAATGTATCAATATCTTAATAACATATTTTCTGTTTGTTCATATATCTTTGCTTGCACATTTCAAATAAAAGTAAACTAAAAAATAACAATTTTTTAGTTGGTATAGTATTAATCTGACTATTTACTATAATGTACTACTATATTAATAATAAAAATGTATATTGTGGTTATTCATTTTTGGAAATAGCTTTGGACCATTTTCGGGTCTTTTCCCAAAATGGTAAATTATAACCATGTTTTATGAAAAAAATTATCTCACTTCAAAAATCACTTAAACACCATTTCATATAGGTATTTAGTTTCATTCTTTCTTCTGAAGTAATTATCGTAATATATACATAAAAAAAAAATCTTATTTTTTTTCATAAATAAAAAGTGTGTTTATGCATTTATATTTATTATTATACACCCATGGCATCGAAAAAAACAAAACAAATAAAAACTTTTGTATAATTTATAGTAGTCATTTTTGCTTGATACTCAAATACTTTTAGGTGACAAAATCAAAATCACATAATTTTTTTACACAACTTGCAGTGAATCTCAAGTTTTCCCTAAAAAATCTCAATTTAATTAATATGAACTTAAAAATTATTAAACAAGGAAGTTTTCCTATAATTGGAGTATCTGCAGAATAGTTGGAAAATGATTAAAAAAATTGTGAATAATTTATGAGTTTTTAAAAATATAACTTAGCTTGAAGAGAAGGACGGTTGGTGTGATCGGTCAAATAAAAAATGGCAAAAATAAATAATAATATTTATTTTTACATTTGCCGACATTTCTGCCCAAAGTTCAGGAATTCATCAGGGCTGATTGAAGCAAAGTTTTGCAGAGATGAGATATAGTTAGCTTAGCTTAATTTAGAGTCTTTTAAATTATTTTAACAATGAAAAACTTTACTTTCATTTAAAGTAATTTTTTTCTAGTTTACAGTGAAGCAATTGTTAATTATTTAAATTAAATGTTTATTCATTTAACAAAAAACATGAATTACTTAAAAAAACATAAAACTTAAATTTCCTACTTTCCTGCCAAAAATCGGTCTAATGTTTATATAAACTTTTTTATAGCTCTTGAGGGCTGCTCTCAACCTACAAATATTTCCATGTACTTAGGGGACACCCTGTATAAAGTGAATTAGTTTCCCTAAATGAAGACTATATTTTTGAGAAAATATAAAAAAAAAAATTCAATAATTTTTCATGGATAATCTCCATATTTATTTAATTTCATTAACTTTTTTATTTTGAACTATATCATTTTCTAACAAGTTTGCTTTTCATACTGTTAAAATTAAAATTCATGATTTTATGAAAACAGTTGGGTTGAATTTTTTTTGTTTTTTTATATATTACTATACATCTCAATGTGAGTTGATTCCTTTCATCATTTAAATATTATATGCTAAGCAAATTTTTTACAGTCTAAAATGGAAATAAAATAATGTAAAAGAGTAGAAAGTCTAAAAAGAGGCTTAAAAGCTTTGTTAAGATATAATTTAAATATTCCGAACAAAAAACCTTTACTATCTAATATATAGGTCCAACAGTTAACTTGTCAACCAATTTAGGGATTATATATAAATAGGCATTCATTTTTATTTTATCAAGCAATGCATCATATGTGAAGTTTTCCTTAACCAAATTCTTCTTTAAACCTCTCTTCACACATTTCTGTCAATCGTATCCTCTTCTGCTAATTAATTTCCGGTCATTTCCTTTACTTTATTTTTCCACTGTATTTGTTTTCTTTTCCTCTTTCTTCCAACTTCTGCTTCCCATTATATCATAAATTTGAATTCATCCATTTCAAGTGGAAATGGTAATTTTTTTTTTTTTTTTTTTTGTAATGATGATACTGAAAGTGGTGGAACATTGATTGATATGTTGACTGTTCTCTACATTGAATATTCATGGCCTTATGTCTGGTATCTTATAGTTATAACCTAACAAAAAAAATTAAATTAATAATCTTACCAAGATGAGGTGTCGCAATTACTTTGGGGTGCTTGATGAACTCCAACAACCATTCTGACTTGGGAGGTTCTTCTGTGAAAACATCTATAGCTGCACCACCACATCGACCATCCTTGAAATATACATAAAATTTACATTAGTGACTATAAAATCACCAATTTTTAAAACGAAATTATTATTTATTACTCAATGATCAATATGGGAAGAATTTTTTAATAAAGCATTCCAAATAAAAGTATTAATGAGGCCATGAAGATGATCCCAATATCCTTTGGTTATAAATTGTTCGTTAATAACTAATGTCCAAAAGTATCACAAAACTCTATAATTACTTTCATTATTTCTTTACTACAGTAATATTTCAATATTCAATAAACCTGTATTCTTTATTGCTTATGGAATACAAATAAATAAACATTTTCCAGAAACATTGCCATGAGAGAATTTCTATAATGTTTTGTCGCAAAGAAATCATTAAGACAAATAGAGAAAATTATATATAAGGAGTGTGTTGAAAATAAATAAAACATTTTTATAATCACCTTCAGAGCTTCAAGCAATGCCTTTTCATCAACTATCCCTCCTCTAGCAACATTTATGACTTTTACACCTGGTTTACACTTGTTAAGGCTGTCTTCATTAATGAGATCTTAATAACAATAAAATCTTTGTTAGTTCTAATTATTGGTAACAATTTATTTATAAAAATTAACAATTCTGAATAAAAACATACTTTTAGTTTGAGGTATAAGAGGTGTATGGACAGTGATATAGTCTGCAAGAGGCCAGATTTCAGGAAGGTCCATCTTATCTATTCCTAGAGCAGCGGCAGACTCTGCACTTACTATCGGATCAAATCCAATTATTCTCATACCAAAAGCCTTCATCCTTGATGCTACTTCACGACCAATCCTTCCCAGGCCTAACACAGCTAGAGTCTTCCCTAAAAGTTCCTCTCCTGTGTAAAGCTTTCTGTCCCATCGCCCCTCTTTTAATGACTGGCAACCACTAGGTACATTCCTGTATATATAATAAGATCTATATTAATCTGTTTAAAATTATTTAAATTTGTTTATGATTTATTATTTTGTCAAACAAAAGAATGTACGAACCTTGCTAAAGCAACAACAAGTGCACAAGTCAATTCACAGGCACTGATTGAGTTACCACCAGGAGTGCTGAAAGTAATTAAACCCTGTTAATTATTTTAATATTGGAAATATAATTGGAAATCATCATGCTTCGCTTAAACATAAAATCCTATTTCTCTTTATGGTCAAGCTTTTATTGGAAAAGATATCCAGTTGAACTAAACTAAAATTTTTTTCACAAATATGGTGTTTATTCCTATGAAATACATTAATATTCCTCCCTATTGAAAAACTAATTAAAGCTATAACTTAAAGTATTGAAAAAATGTAAACAACATTAATAAATATATTTATATAATGTAATTCAGAATCTCACAATCAGTTAAATATTTCAAAAAACATTATAAAATTAGCACAAATGCATTAGCTCCCTACAAAGCTTCTCACATGTTTAAAATTTTCAAGAATGAGTGATAAGTTTCACTTATTTAAATAGTTTTAATTGAAATTTTAAAGTTTCACTTATTTTTTTAAATTTTGAGAGTAGGGCAGCTCAGTTAATAAGATACAGTGCTAGAGGTCTTGCATTTGACTCCACCTGTGGCAGGTAATCATTGATTTGTTACATAAGTGAGGGATGATACATACATACTAGTGGCCAGGTAACTAAGGTAAAATATAGGTTGCCTGACAATCTGGCAACCAAAGATTACCGAACCCTTGTACCCTCTTACGGACTTAAATACAGATTTAAAAACTCTGCCATAATTCCACCACCCTCTCCCCTGACCTGAGAAAAATCCTGTATAGCCTAAAAGAAAATTAAGGGAAAAAAACCTTACATCATCCATGGATTGACTAGGTCACGCCAAGACCTCTATAAAATAAACACTCTTAACTACTTTATTTATTAAATAGGAAACCTGGTGGTTGACGCTGGTGTAAGTCAAATCATTTTGCACAACCGTTTACCAGGAAAAAGTACTTCCCAACAAAGTATTGAACCCGAGACAGTCTATGGGTTGGAATGGTTATTTTCATATTTTTAATTTTTTTTTTTTTTGTGGTACAAGTTTTCATCTTAAACAAGAAGAATTGGAAGTTTCGTGTTAATTAGGATTGCTTTGTTGGGACTAGAGTAAAACATATTTGAAAGCAAATTATTTAACTTTTTCATAACTATAAGAAACAGTTATACCAACAACTTTAAATTCTAATTCTTTTAATGGCAATAACATTTTCTGGTTTGGTTGTAAATGCAAAATTATTTACAATCTAAATGTCAATATGTTGCCTATTGTTTCCATTTCAGCATTATTGTTGAAGTTCGTTGTTTAGTTATTATTTTTTGTAATCGTAATATATATTCTCACATTTAAGTAGGGCTAATTCTGAACCTCACTATTTTATTTGCCTTTCTACTTACTTTAACACAATTATTCCTTTTTTTGTTGCTGCTTCCACATCTATGTTGTCCACACCAGTTCCTGCTCTCCCAACAACTCGAAGTTTAGGGGCAGAATTGAGAACACTATTCTTTACTTTTGTCTCAGATCTAACAATCAAGGCTTCTACATCCTGAAAACAAAATTTAGCATGATTTCTGGCTTATTCAATGCTTATATTTTAAAACAATTTAGATTATACAATATCTGTATAATATTTATGATATAATATATATATATATATATATATATATATATATATATATATATATATATATATATATTATTTATATTTAATTTATAATATTAATTATCAAGTACTTAACTATTTTTCCTCTTCAGTTTTAAAATTATCATTCCCCGTGATCTCCTAATATAGTCATATCATTAGAGTGCTACCATTGGGTAGTTACTCAGCAAGTGTATTCATGTCATTATATCAATTATGGTCAAATTTACTTGATGTATTTATGTAATACAGTTGTAAATGTCATAAAGAAATAAAAAAAAAAAAAAAAAAAAAAAAAAAAAATTATCATTAAATATCGAGAAATGATGTATCTCAGTATACTTAATGGAGGAATTGATTGGTATTTAAAATCAATATTTAATTAAAAATTTGATAAAAAGTAATTACGTATAATGGTCATCTTAATTTATCTGTAGTTGATGAAGAAACCTATGTAAAACGAAACAATATTTTATAAACCATTCTTCTTTTATGACAAAATGTTTTTCAGTTTAGGAAAGTGTTCTAAGAGTTATAATTTAAATTATCAATGATTAAAATATCAATGAAGCAATAATTGTTGAAGATGAAGAATTAAACTTCGGTATCTCAAATGATATAAAACAGCGTTGGAAAGAAATCCTTACGTTATGTAAAGTGTTTTTACAGCTACTCAAGAGTTATGTCATTTACTAAATGATAACATACATAATTGTTTATGGATTACATTCTTTTTTTTTTAAACCTACTTGATATGACGTAGCGTGGGTGATAATCAGTTTGACCCCAGGAAAATTTTAGATTATCTCATATGAAAAACAATGGATGTCACGTTTCACCTAATCATCCGATGCCTCCATGACGTTACAACAAATATTCTATTGATTACTTTTAAATAAGCAAGCTCTCATTTTGTTTTACTTTTTAACTACGTAAAACACACCAATTCTGGTAGATAATAGAAACATTAAAACTTCAAATATGGGAATTTAAAGTCGTATACTCTCCAATTTAGTTTAAGAACACCTTTAATGAAGTCATTTTTGGTGGGGAAGCAGTCGGGAATAAAACCCATAGTAATGAATGTTTATTGTTTAACGGGTGCCGATGAAATGTCTTCTTTAAGGGGCCCTTAAACGGTCAATATCGAATATATTGACCGTTTGAGAGATACATTGTATCAAATACATTTGCATTTACAATATGTATACCACGTTCCACGGGCGAATCTACGGGCGGGGGGCCTTGGGACTGAAGCTTTCCCCCTCTTCCACCAAAAAATGTTAAAATATAACCATGTTTTATGGAAAAAAATATTACAAAATTATCTCTTAAAGTATTATTGTTCGTGTAATTACATTTAAAAGGACTTTAGGAATCACTTAAACACCATTTCATATAGGTGGTTAGTTGCTTTCTTTTTTTCCAAAGTAATTATCGTTATTTTGATGAAAAAAAAGCTTTCGGGTTGAAGCTCCCCCAAAATTAAATCCTGGATCCGCTAGTGCCACGTTCAATAATATTGCTTCAGTATTATTGATTCAACAGTATTAACCGTGTAAGGTGGACGTTAAAGAGATGAAGTCGTTGACAGCGGAGTAGTTGGTATGGCTGAATATTATGAACGACTACATCTTAGGCAAAAAATATGTTACACATTGAATAGTTAATATTAATAACTTCATATTTTATTCCTAATCGTATCCAAAACAACAGTTCCTTGTAATAACAATGAAATGATGGAGTCGTAGTAGGTATCTTGAATAGATAATTATAAGATATAACTAATTACTGTCACGAACATTATTTGCGCATCCTAAAAGCCAATATTATATCGACTTGATCGACAGCTAAACTTTAAATTACAATTATCTATTACATTTAAGCCTATAGTTGATTCTTGACCAATTCCAAATATGTGGGTATAAATATGGACTGATTTAATTTCTGTAGGGGTGGGTAAATCTGCTAAATACCATTAAAACTTGATAAATGATAGACGAGATTAAAATATTTTATACGATTAATTTTCTTACACATGCCAATTACAAGTGATAAGTAAAAATGCTGACAATAATTAGTGAGATGTTAGTTCAAAGAATAAGGATCAACGATCTAGACATCAAATCCTATTTGCTATTCGAAATCGCCGATATCTGATTCTCATATCTTATTACCAACACAGGATATAATAACCTCAGGTCATTAAGACGATTATTTCTTTTATTTTATGAACTTTTATGATTTGAGACGTAAAATTTCGAAACTAGTATACAACTTGGATGAAATTTACCATGACTAATCTTCTTAAAGTACATAAACTTCTCTTATCCTCGAGAAAAAGCTTTTAAAAAAGTATACTATTTGTGTAAAGTATTTCAGAATCGTTACTAAGCCATCGAATTCCTCTTGTATCCAATCCTTACAATCCAAAATCCTTCATAAAATCCTCAATTCTCCTTACTATGCCATAAATAAAAAAATAAATAATTAAAATCATCCATAACGATCTTAACGTATCATATATTTCCGATTCAGCTCAACCAACATACCTATCCTTCCAAAATAAACTTCTGAACCATCCGAACCCTCTTGTTTTTAACCTTGTTTCCTCTTCGATTCCTGATAACTAGTGTTGCCCAAATGTGAGACTGAGAAAAGTATTGGTCTTGCAAATTCAGTCTTGGTCATGGTCTTGGTCTTGCGCAAGAGTCTCGCAACATTCTTGCAGTTGCTTATTAGCTTATTACTATAGAGATATTCTGTAATTTTTTAGATAGGAGAAACCTAACTAAACTCGGAATGAAAAATTAGATTAGTTAAAAGCAAAAGTATATTGGTTATATCAATTATTAACATATAGTAACTAAGATTGGCGAGGATTACTAACTATTAACATATTTAAACGATTTTAGAAGACAAAGGGATTAGTGTTGTCCAAATGCGAGACCGAGAAGAATCTTGGTCTTGTAAACTCAGTCTTGGTCATGGTCTTGGTCTTGCGCAAGAGTCTCGCAACAGTCTTTCAGTTACTTATTACCTTGTTACTGTAGAGGTATTACTGTATTTTTTTAGATAGGAGAAACCTAACTATGTCCGAATGAAATATTAGAGGAGTTAAATGCAAAAGAATATTGGTTATACCTATTATTGACATATATTAACTAATATTGTCTAGTATTAGTAACTATTTTGCCTTAATGTTTATTTTAAAAATCTATTTTTTTTTACTAGTCCTGGTCTTGGTCTTGCAACAGTTAGACAGCCATGGTCTTGGTTGCAAAGCGCAACACCAAGACCGATTTTGGGCAACACTAAAAGGGATTCTATAATATATAATAGAGGAGATATTATAATATATAGACTACAGTCAAGCAACATTGAACCACTTTTCGATAAGAATAATGTAGATTCAGTTCTATCATGTTAGCATTATGATATTCATTTCATATCATTATCTATCTACACCAGGGCTTCTCATATCGATAGCAGCGGCACCCTGAGTTTCCTCAGTCGTATTCCAAGGGGTTTTAGAAATAATATTTAATTTAAATAATTAAGGTCGAAATTATCAATTTTATGAATATACCTTATGAAATTACAAAAAATAAAAAAGGTATAATTCCCGAGAACTGTACTGCCTCTGGACCTCTGTAAGGGTAGATCTATAGTCCTGAATCCTCATTTTCACTTTAGTCTTTAATTCGTTTCTCAAGTATCGATAAAGTAATTTGACATTGACGAGATGTTTACCGTCTTTCTCACAGTACAGTACATAGGATCTCTAGAAAGATAAGATTGGCACACAATTTATCATTATCGATGCTGATGTAATAAACACAACATTTAATTATATAATGCGATATATTATTCGATAAATCGCCAACCCGACGGATAATCCGGATATATCCGGGACAGCAGTCCTATCATATTTTATCTAGTATTGATTAGATAACCTTACGGGGCAATAATTGGCGAAATACTTAGTAACCGAAAGGTCGTGATCTCATAGATCTGGTGACTAGATGTATTAAAAAAACTGATGATGCACTTTTTAAAATTCGTTCGTGACAACACGCAAAATTTTAAAAGATTTTAACTCGGACCAAAGGCCATATAATGGCTTTCCAACTATTTTGTTCAGTCAACTTTTTCTGGCTACAGCTTTATTAAGTATTCGATTGTAATTATTTGCTAATTAATACCTGATCCAAGATCGCAAAATTATGAGAGGGTATATTGTGGCGGGTTTTTTTAATTTTTGAGGGGGAGGGGGCAAATATCGACGGGGTTATGAATTTTCGGACAAAGGGCCAAAGGAAAAACATGGAATAGTCCATAGCAAGTGTAATTGTATATGATCTACGATTTTTCTAATTATTAGCTTGTTTTTAAGAAAAGGTGCACAATAAAATATCTTGGGAGGAGGCGAGAATGTAGACTCTTGCGCCATCGACCTCGGGTGGTGGGATGGACACCTCTGATACTTCTTCATCTGTCAGTTGAGGTGAAATTAGGAGTATTTGAAAATTTTTATGACTTTTGTTTTATTACGAAATAAACTAGAGTTCTCGTTCCTCCTGAAGAGCATTTGTTGTTTTATGTATATCATAAGTATTATTGATAATATCTATGTACTTATAAATATATTTATTTTTTTAGAAAGGTTAACGAAATAAAGATACGACGAAGGAACTCATTATCTAACAAGTCCCCTTTCTGAGTTCCTTAACAACTTACTTTTTTACAGTCGGATAAGTAAGTAATTTTTATCACGTCTTTTGTTTGTACCATGTGCCTTGTTTATTACTTTATAGTTGAACAGTTTACTATTATCCATCTTTCGGTGTCCTATTTTTCAAATACATCCTCTATTCCCACCATTAATTATAGACTTAATTATG